CCTCCCCCCCAACCAACCCAAAAGGGGCAGATGCGATTAGATTCTCGTTCTGATAATCGAACACCGTTTGATGAAAGGGATGATTAGCTTAGTGTTGGTTTCTGAAGAAGTTCACAATCTGGTTAAAGACAATACCTTTAGCGGTGATTCCAATAATGAAATTAGCATGAGCATATTCCTTGACGTATTGAACGTGTAACTTGTCAACATCGTGCAACTTCAGATAATCGAGCAATCGATATCTTTAGAATCAGATAGTGCGTCTTGGCCTCCATAACGATTTTTATCCGATTTCATGACATCAATTTTCGAAACTTGAAAAAAACTCATCCACAAGTTGTGACTCGCTGAAGTGGAAAGCAGGGCAATAACAATTGAAGTTGAAGTTGCAGATCAGGCACAATTGAATTCGAATTTTTAACTCAAAATATATACATTAGTTGAGATATGAGGGACTAGATTCTCTAAATCCCTAAATATAAGTTCAATCTAGAGAGAACAGGGAAGAGAGGAGAGAAAGAAGCAAAATGATGTAATTAAATCCCTTGACTGAAGGCACAAATAATGGATTAAGGGCTTTTTAAGATTGACTGTATATATTTTGTAACTAAAATATATTTAGATCGGATAAATACGAAAACATAAATATTTATTGTAATAAAGTTTCAAATAGTCTATAGGAATGGAAAAATGCGTTAAAACAAATGATGTCTGAACCAACCATTTCATTCTGAGGACTAATTGGACCTCTAAGAACCATTGGCCCAAAATACTCTGCGGGTCGGGTACTTTGGGATTCTCCCGCAACATATACTAGTGTTTATACTTTATATCTTCTTCCCGCGCTCATTTTGAAACCTCCCCCTTTTCTTTTTTGCGTCTTCCAATTCCTCCTAGGGTTTCGCCAATTCTTATTCATACTCCATTTTTGCGTTTCTCCATAGCGCAGTAGCCAAACATTTCCACATTCTCACGACAAAATGAGTGCTCCAATGGAAGTCTCCATGGTCAACGCTCCTGAAGTCAACACCAGTGAGCAAAACGGCATCGTTCCGGACCCTCCTCCACCTCCGTCACTCACATTGCCTGAAGAAAAAGTTCTTGTTTCAGGTACTCCACAATATTATACATTTGTAACATTCTACCTAGTGGAATTAATTTTGTTTAAGGATTTGGATAGTTTTTCTTTTAGCTGAAAATTTTAATTTTTGGTAATTGTAGTTGAAGTTTGTTTGAAGCCTTCAAGTGCAGCTCGCATTGATGATGTTACATTAGCTGTTGAGAGGTATGTAAATTTTCAACATTTTATGTCTCAGTGTCTTTGGGTGCTGTGAATGACTTCCCTTACTTTTGAATTTACTAAATATTAATGTTGAAGAACTAAATGGGATAAAAAAGGAGGTTATCTTGTGCACAAAGTGCTCCTAGTGCAGTAGAGGGTTAGAGGATAATTGCAGTATACCATATGCAAACTGCTGAGGTCATTTCCACACAATTAAGTGATAATCCGAGCGGAGGGAAAAAATATTAGTATTTCTTTTCGTCCACCTATACCTTGGTGGGCAGAGTTACCCGTAGCAGGAACCTGGTGGAATAGTCGAGGTGAGCACAAGCTGACATAGACACCACGTCATAAAAAAAATTTAATTTCAAGTTTGATTAGTTGGGTTTAAGGCTAGTCGTGATGCTATGCTAGGATGAGGTTTACTGTTGCTGGAGATTTATATGTTACTTGGAAATAAAGAGAGACTCTAGTGTTAGAGGAACTCAAATTATTGAATATCAGGACGAAATAGGTCCTAATAGAGCTTAAATGGATGATGATAATTCATATGCTGACTGCAACTAGCTGCGATTGAGGCATAGATGTTGTTATTGTTGTATTTGACGTCTCTGGGAATTGTTAAGGTGCATGCTGCTTCACAGGAACACTATTTATGGCTAAAGTTACTTTTTCTTATTTTGAATTTCTCAGTCAAATTTGCCTTTTGGTTTATTTGGGAAAATCATTTTGTACAGAATGCTGGAAAAGAGGAGCATGAGCTACGAGGATGGTCCAATTCCAATTCCAATTGATGATCTCTTTCTTGCTGAAAATGTTCAGCACATATGTGTTTGTGACACAGGTATAAAATATTCAGTCACTTTGGCCTTCTGTTTGTGTAGCAGAAAGAAGCAAACTAATGTTTACCAAGCTTATTTTTGGGTATTAATGCGCTGCTATATTGTTTCTTTTGTAGATGTCTGGGTGGAGAACCGAGATATTCTTCTGTTCTGGCAAGTAAAACCAGTTGTTCATGTATTCCAGGTCCGCTTCTCTTCTAAAAGCTACCTAAAGTCCCAAGCCATTTGGGCATTCCTATTTTCTATCCTAGCTTGATGATATAGAAACTAGAAAGGATTCTTCAAGACACACAAGAAGTTGCTAGAAACTTGTGCCCATATTGGATATATATTGAATTTGGTACTCCTACCCGAGCCCAATGTAACATACGATACATGTGTGCGTCTGGTGTAGTTATGATTTCGTGTAACTGCTTGTATGAAAGGGTTATATGATGTCCTGCCATTCATAAATCCTGTCCAAGAAAAAAGAAGAAGAATAAACCAGAAGTGAAGTGAAAGAGAAAGGAAGAGAAATTGGAGGTTGGTGTGAGAATAGCTAACACAATCAGCACATGCACCTAATCTCGGTCGTTTGATATGAGGGATAAGTAAAAATAGTGCTTGAATAAAAATTTAATTCCACCTTATACCTTGTTTAGTCACCAAACCTAGGATAAGTTATCTCGGGATTAAAATTAGTACCGGGATAACTTATACCTTGTAGGGGGTGGGATAATTAGTGCTGGGATAAAAATAATGCTGGAATAGAAATTATGCAATGCATGTCATTTTTAATACAACATACTAAACAGTGGATAAAATATAATCCCAGCATAACTTATCCCAGCATAGCCTGTATTCAAACCAAACAACCCCTTAGAGTTGACATGTTCACTTTTATGACCTCCCCAATTTGAATTTGATTTGGAGATTTTCATTTCTCAGCTTAGTGAGGAAGGACCATGTGAAGAGTTGAGTGGGGATGGCCAGCTTTCTACATTTAATGAATGGATTCTTCCGGCAAAGGAATTTAGTGGAATGTGGGAAAGGTGTGTCACTCGCTAGCTTAAAAAAACTAGATGTTTCTTCAAGGAATACATATGTGATTTATCATTTTATTTCTACAGCTTAATATACGAATCTGGTCTCAAGCAGAGATTGTTGCGTTATGCAGCAAGTGCTTTGCTGTTTACCGAAAAGGGAGTTAATCCATTCCTAGTATCCTGGAATCGGTAAGAAACTTGTTTTCCTGATTCACAAATATTTATGATGCCAATCTTTGCCTATAAACCTTGTGTGTACTTATGATATGTTCATTCTGCCTTGCATTCTTTGCTTGGTGAGTTTCGAATAACCAGTTTAAGTGAAGCTTAGTTCTGTAATATGGGTACTTTTGGCACTCGTACAAAATCTGGATTGTTTGTAGCCGTTTGCATAAAGGTAGGTCTCTGTTGAATGCACCGTAGGATCACACATGCTTCATGAAATTGCTATTTAGAATCTCTCCAGCATAAGTATTTCAGAGTGCAATCTTGCATATAGTTGTTGCCACACTCGATGTATCGATTTGTTTGCTTATTAATCACAAAAGCCCTAATGAAACAACATACTCATTAGTGTACAGGTTTATTGTGCCTGCCCATATCAACTTACTCCTTATAGATGCATAATAGAGGATCTAAATTGTAACTTGATAACATTTTGAAGTTCTATTGTGAAAACGATCAGTATTCTGTAGTTTTAGCCAAGCTTGCTTCAAGATTTTGACTCGATGTGGTAATAACACGTTTGATAAATTTGGTTTTATTATTATGAGTGCATGTTCAGTTCTCACTTATTTCCACGTTGGTTTGCTCTAATGAGCTGTTGTTGAATGCATAAGGACCAAAAAACAACAAATATTTGGTCTAGGCCCTCTACTTTTTGGTGTACAGTTTGTATATGCGAATGTCCCAACTCGATACAATTATTTACCTTCTGAAAACAACCGCACGGACAACTCACATGCTAATAATCACAATCCGCCCGACGTGGTAACAGGCAGAATATCACAATCTGCCCGGCATGGTCACAGGCCCAATATCACAATCCACCCGACGTGGTCACAAGCACAATATCACAATCCACCCGGCGTGGTCACAGGCTACCAATCCAATCCATATCACATAAATAAGATATGCAAGAATACATGTACATGATCAAAGAACATCAAATGTCATAATCCTGGACTGGTATAAGTGACATGCTAAGGTGTATGCATGTGCAAGTGTGATATTATAGCAAACTGTAAATCAAGACAAACTACTAGGCACAAACATGGGTACTCTAGTAATTCAGACATAAGATGTGAAAACTACATTGAGCAACAATTTGGTTGCGTATGTTTTTGAAAGTATATATGCAACAGTAAAACTAGTAAATTGGTCGAAGCACGAGCTCCCATCTTTAATGTGACAAATGGGTCAGAGTTCAGATAGCCTTGCTGCTCATTACTTCCTTTTTGTCGCATTTTGTTTGATCTAGTTGTTATTTAAGAGAGTCAAACATATTCTTCTTTGATAGTGATCTTTCTGTTCCCTTTTAAGCAAATATTCATAGTTAATAGCATTTTCAGATATTTTCTAGACGTATAATTTATTTGAAAAATTAATGTCCGATGTTGAACTGAAAATTAATCAAATCTACCTTTGTAAACATGAGTTAGGTAGTTGGGCTGTAGTATTCAGATATTGATTTTCCGGTTTCTTCTCCCACATTTATTACCTTAAGGATGTAGCAAAACTTATCTGTCCTTGATTGCGTTTCTTTTTCCCAGTCCTGCATTTGGATACAGTTATCCAGTTTTCTCACTGATTTCTTTTCTAATGGTTTGTAGTATTATTCTTCTGCATGGACCTCCAGGAACTGGAAAGACATCTTTATGCAAAGCTTTGGCGCAGAAGCTTTCCATACGCTTTAGCTCTAGGTTTGTACACAAGTAATGCTCTATTGGATGTTCCAGCACTTGGGTACTTTGCTGACCTCCTTTTTTTCCTTTGGATTCATACTCGCATAAATCAGATACCCACAGAGCCAATTGGTGGAAGTCAATGCACATTCATTGTTCAGTAAATGGTTTTCTGAAAGTGGCAAGCTGGTATGTTTCATAGTACACTTTGAGATAACTATTCAGGTCTTGTATAGTCAATGTGCTGCTTGACACCTATCTGCAGTGGGTCAAGCTTGGTCTTGGAGATGAATTTGAAATCCATACATTTAAATCTACACAATTTAAGAACTATTTTGTTTGTTGGAAAGGTAAATTGTGCTGAGGATTTGAGATCATGCTATATCCATTTACTAGACTAATAGAAAACTACCATAACTTGACTATCATAAGATATTCTCAGTTACATAATTCATGAAGAGTTTCAAAGCTATTCAACATCGTAGTCTGAGGGAGAAACTGCCAAACTGTAAAAGTTACAGACTTCAAGTCTTGACAATGTTGAAACCAAGAGAGGTTTTTTTTGTTGTGATAACAGTAGTGTGAGGGCAGCTTGCACGCACCTCGATGTTCCACCTGTTACCTGCTACCTCCACCAGTACAAGTAGGGGTAACTCTACCCCCCAAGGCTTAGGCAGAGGGGAAGAGATCACCTAGTGTTTTTCTAGCTCTGCTGGGATTTGAACCTGAGACCTCATGGTTCTCCTCCCACTTCATTGACTACTAGGCCACACCCAAGAGAAGATATTCTTTATATTGGCTGCTTATCTTTGATGCAATTTGCTGGCATAGGGCAGAGAATGAGTCCATGGAGGACAATGAATTTGAAGAGCATGCAGCACGAGTTTGGAATAGTTGGTTAATGAGATTGGATATTTGTGGATTCTGTTTTGGTGCTTGAAAATGAATTTTGCTGAAACTTCAACTCCATGATTACATTACAAGTTCATACTCTCTAATGCTGGTCTAGTTAATTGCAATAATAGAGTCTACATGTGCACGTTGCAAGAGACTGACCCACAGTCAAGATCATTGATAGTTTTACTAACACTCAAAGAGCCAAGTTGGCAGTCGAATTAGGGGTCTTTTAGTTCACATGCTAGTTATGTGGGAATTATCATGTACGGATTGTCCATACAGTGAATAATAATGAAGCGATTGTTATCGGGTGAATAATATTTTAGTTCACATACTAGTTATGTGGGAATTATCATGTAAGGATTGTCCATTCGGTGAATAATAATGAAGAGATTGTTATGGGGTGAATAATATTTTAGGAAATTTTGTGGCTTGCATTATGAATAATAATGTAGGATTGTTATGTAAGGATTACTTTTAGGGCATCTTTGTCTTTAAATATTTTTATTCTCATATGACCAACTTTGTTTGGAACCGAGGCATAATAGTTGTTGTTGTTATTGCTAATATGTGTACTCTTATTCCACATTCTATTGACATAACTAATATGTAGATTCTTGCATATCTGAGTGCGGGTTTTATTTAATAATAGCAACCAAATGCTGGCATTACTTAAATGGGATTTGTTTTTCTGATAAGGCCAACCAAATGACCCCTTAGTGTTTGAAAGTTTTCACGTTAAGCTGTATCTATCAACTTATTGTCTTGGTTGGTCATTCTTGTCTTGCCTGGGCTGCATTATTGGCAAGCAGTCAACCATGTAAGTGAAGGTGTCTCTTAGTGCTAAGATTGTTCTCCAGAAAAGGAAAATGCTGTTACAGACTTCCATAATGTCATTGAATAAAAGATTTTCTTATATTATTATGAGACAAGACTTGTTATCTAATCTGTCAGCCGGAGTATTCAGAACAGAAACTAAAATTCTGTCAAAGCTAAAGCAAAAGTATATAAGAGTGTTGAAAAGCCCTGATATATTCTGCAAGGCAGTTCTATTTCCTAATCATGTTAGTCACTAGAACATGGGACCGCCAAGCAGTTTGTTTGGTAATTATATGTCCTCCATTCTGTTTATCTCCACCTTCCTCTTTCCAATTACTTTGGTTGCACTAGTTTGCCCATTTGGTTCTTTGGTAGTCAGCTTTGTTTTGACACCTTTGTGCTTGTCTTCAGCTAAGTGGCTTACATCCTTATTTCAACCTTAGGTTGCAAAGCTGTTCTCGAAAATCCAAGAAATGGTAGAGGAAGAAAACAATCTGGTATTTGTCCTGATTGGTGAGAATTACAATAAATGAACAATTCAGTTACACTGGTGAATTATTTATTTATCGTTTAGCATAATAACTCTTTGCCCATATTTTTCCAGATGAAGTTGAAAGCCTTGCTGCTGCTAGAAAAGCTGCTTTGTCTGGATCTGAACCTTCAGATTCTATCCGGGTACCATAATCTTTATATTACTCACCAAAATTAAATTATGTTAGGATTTCTTTTGTTAAAGAACAAATGTGTTTTCTTGATAAAGCTGCATACCTATTTGTCCTTTGACACATGATATATCTTCTCAGGTAGTGAATGCTCTGTTGACCCAACTTGACAAGTTGAAGTCTGCACCAAATGTCATAATTCTCACTACATCCAACATCACTGCTGCTATTGGTATGCCCGCCATTAAATTCAGATGCCATATGAGGACAGTTCATTGGAGCCTCTTCATCCTAATTTTGATAGTTTAACAGTAAAATTATGGATATAATTCAGATATTTTAGATCTATGCATTGGCTAGAGAATCTTACATTTCCATCATCTAGGGTCCAACATTGATCATATGGCCATAATAATTATCCCTTTTCATCCTCTCAAATTACATAAATTACATTTTAGAATGGATTTATGGGATTACTCTCTACTGGGAAAATTCTTTAGTCCGATGGGATAAAGCAGGAAATTGAATTACTAGTCCTGCTCCTACTCTCCAGTTTCCAGTCATACTTGGAGTTTTGATATGGGCCTTACTTCCTATCATAAGTTTCTATAATTGATCTTTGCCATCATCCCAGTATTCATCTACCCAGAAAATTGTAAGGTTTGGTGCCTTCTTGTCAAGGTATAGTACATAATGTCTTCTGCGAACTCCTGTTTAGTTTCAGGACTCGGTAGTTGAACCCATCCAGCTGATTGAAAGAGAGAAATATTTGAACAATATAATGTAAATGTCTTGTTTTCCAAGTATTCTACTGTTAGCAGTCGTGCCAGATAAAATATAAAATGCTACGTATTGCTTTGTTTTGACAGCAAAATTGCAAGCACAGTAACTGTGAGTTTCTTTTAACTGTGTGAGATCATAATAGTGCAGAGGTCTAGTTTCTTGTTAATATATTAATTAGCAGTTTCAGTTTCTTCTTTTTTCATTAAGAAAAGCATATGTGCAGATCATCGTGCATGTATTTTTTCTTCCTAGTTTGAATCTTGTGCATGAGTGCCACTGTAATAGTAGTTAGGAAGCGTTTTGGAATTTTCCTACCATCGTCTTCTTCTGCAATTAAAATGTAAAACCACTACAAACAGTTTGACATGTACTGTGTGTTTAACAAGCTAGTATGAATATCTTGATTTGAACACTATTGGATCTTAGTGCTCGTTTGATATGAGGGATAAGGGATTAATCCCGGGATTGAATTTGAGATGAGTTTATCCTATGTTTTGTTGGGATAAAATAATGGTATAACTAATCCCGGGATTGTAGTGTTTGTTTATCCCTATGGGGAGGGTAGGATTACTTATCCCAAGATAACTAATCCCGGGATAATTAATCTTGAGATAATTTGCTTCCCAACCAACAACCCCTTAGTGTACAATGTAAGATGAAAATTTTGAATTTGCATGAATAGTTACTGCGTATTAAACCGATGTTACCATTCAATAGGCTAGCATTTCTTTTACTTCTCTTTTTCTTTAATTAGCATTTTCCTTTTACTTCCCTTTTCCTCCCAGCGACATGCTTTGAACAGTATCCTGATCACACTTGCATATGTTAATTTAACCTAAAAATTGTATGCTTCATGAGATTGCAGATATAGCTTTTGTGGATCGTGCTGACATTAAGGCATATGTGGGACCACCAACTCTTCAAGCACGTTATGAGATACTGAGATCATGCTTGCAAGAGCTATTGCGCACTGGCGTCTTGTCAAATTCCCAGGTGCTGTTTCTTTGACTTTTGAGACGTTTTGATCACTTGGATTATAGTGCACTAAATAATCTCTATGAAATGGCTGTAATATATGCAGGACGCTTACCATCTTCTTCCAAGTTTTGCGGGTTTGAGGGAGAACCTGAGCATAGTTACAACCGAGTCTCAGATGTCAATACACCTTGGTAAACAACTACTTGAAGCTGCAGAGGCATGTGAGGTAAAGATTTGCCCCTTGTATCCAGTCAAGTAAATTCAAGAGCATATAAATGTGATGAGCACAATCACACAATGTTAATGCATGTCTATCTTTTAGGGAATGAGTGGAAGATCACTTAGAAAGCTACCATTCTTGGCGCACGCAGCACTTGCTAGTCCTTACAATTGTGAGCCTGGCAAATTTTTGCATGTAATGATGGAAACAGCTAAAAGAGAACGGTCAGAGCTGTCCGAGTGAGTTTTTTTCCCATTCAAAGTCAATCCTGCTTCTGTTACTAACCCTGTCACCAAGCTCAACTATAGAGTAAATCGATGACTAGCACTGTTAAATGCCGGGAGAAATTATCATATGGTTACCCCGAGACCGACAGAAGCAAGCTCTTTATTATCTCTTTGGGAGAGAAAGGATTTCTGGGCAATGTGAATTATGTAACAACGATGTATTTGAAGGCCATTACATGAATAATAGGTATTCTTGTATGTTCTAACATCGATTGCGCTATAGATGCATATATTAAAGTTAAGATGAAATATGTATATCACATCTTGGGCCGATTAGCTTTCATTCATCAAGCACGGTTAAGAAGTTTTTATACTATCTGATTATGTCAGGCACTACGAACTTTGGAAACTTGACATATCCGTTGAATTTGACATCACCAGATTTTCGCATATAAATGAGAAAGGCTTATTCGTTCTCAGCAAATAATCAAAATTTTATTTGTTTGACTCTCTAAGTGGCGCTAAATAGTAATTAGGTTAAACAAATGAGTTTAAATCCTATTAACTGCGGTGTAAAGAAATTTACTTAATTTTGTCACTTCAAAGATAATTGTATGTAGATGTTTACTCTACGTATGTGTTCGTAACATAGGGGAAGGATGAGTAACTTGGTGGAGTTGGCCAAATTGCAACCAACAAGCAAACCATTTTGGAGTGAAAGTGTGATAAAACTTACTACTAATGAATATCTTAACAAAATGTTGTTGAAGAAAGTAAACAAAGTGATAAACCTGTCCTTTTGTTATCTTGTAAACTTGAGATTTGTTTCCACGGTTATGTTTATTGCTTCAGCTAAGAGAATCATGACACCAACCTCATCGGTTTCTGTCTTAGTTCTCAATGGTAAGTCTATTATTCCGAATCTAACAATGCACCTCCTCTTACTTTTAGTAGAGCTTAAAAGGTTGGATTAATTTGTTTGTCTTTCGTCCTAACCGAAGTGAAAGAGCTGTAAGCATGCCTAAGAATATGCTAATTTAGGAGCGAAACTTGAAGTGGGGTTTTTGAAATTATTTATGAGTTTAATTTTATGTAATGATAATGTAAATAAATTTTAAACATGGAGATACTTAAAAAGTAAATATACGTTATTGTTTATAATATGCGATAGAAAATTTGTTATAACACGTTAAATTACACAAGATAGTGTAAAATTTCTTTATGAATTGTGCTATTGATGTATACCCGTTAGATCCTATATGTAATCTTTCTCCTGGCAGAGCAACGATGATGGGACCAAAAGAGGCGTTACATCTCCTCCTTTTTATCATTTTTCTTTAATTAATATATATAGTTTGGGGCAATGCAAGTACGTTAATGTTACTTCACGTGATCGTGTTCCCTGAAAAATTTTCCGCCACGTAACATTTTATTATTTTCCCTATTTCTGTTCCTACCAGAAAATATACACCAAATTTGAAATATTTTCACCTCTGATAAAGGAGGATTCATTAGTATGGTTTTCTTCCAGAGTTGCAGATTTGGATCATATGAACACAGCTTAGTGGCGCTTCCCTTAGACTTGTTGGCAATTGATTTACCATGTGACCATTAAGTGGGGATGGCTGTGAATGTTGAAAATTGGAGTTATATTGATCAGCTTTAACTTGGAGGAGTTTTGGCTTGACCTCATTTCTATATAAAGCATAAGGTTTGAATCGTAATTGGCTGTGAATATTGAATTTGTATATATTCAGGGAGAACAAATAACTAATGGAGTTTATATTGAGGGTATGTAACACATTAATGGGTGAGAATAGAAATTGGTCACTAGTTTGAATGCCAATTACAATAATTGTTGCAATCAATAAGGAGTTGAATGCTAGATATATCACCAATCTCAATCCAATATCTTTTATCTCTTGATTTCTTTTATGATCATTATTTGATCTTGCAGTACAATAATGGGTTAGTGTAACGATCCGACCGGTCATTTCGAGAGTTATAATCCCGCTCCCCATTTTTTGCTTCTTTTGCGTTCTTCAGCTGTATTTTGACTTACCTGGCAAGTTGGTTCGGGTTCAGAGTGATTTTGGAGTGAGTTGAGACACTTAGTCTCTTGTGAGAAGGTTTAAGTTGGAAAAGTTGACTGGATGTTGACTTATGTGTAAACGACCTCGAATTTGAATTTTGATGGCTCCGTTAGCTCCGTTAGGCGATTGTGGACTTGGGAGCGCGTTCGGAATATGATTTGGAGGCCCGTGGTAGAATTAGATTTGAATTGGCGAAAGTTAGAATTTTGGTGATTTTGGCCGGTAGTGGAAAATTTGATATCGTGGTCGGAATAGAATTCTGGAAGTTGGAATAGGTTCGTGGTGTCATTTTTGACTTGTGTGCAAAATTTGAGGTCATTCGGACGTGGTTTAGCGGGTTTCGACATCGTTTGTGGAATTCGAAAATTTAGAAGTTCTTAGGCTTGAATCCGAGTGTAATTTCGTGTTTTGATGTTGTTTTGAGTGATTCGAGGGTTCGACGAAGTTTGTATGATGTTATGGGACGTTTTGGTATGTTTGGTTGTGGTCCCGAGGACTTCAGAGTGTGTTATGAGTTGAAGAAGTGCAGCTGAAGCTGCTGGTTCTGGTAATTTCGCACCTGCGGTGGGGAGCCCGCAGGTGCGGTCCCGTAGAAGCGAAGAGGAGCTCGCAAATGCGGGCAAGGTTGAGGTGGACTGGAAGCACATGTGCGAGATTAGGAGCGCATCTGCGGAATCACAGATGCGGAAGTGGAGAGCAGATGCAGAAAAGGGCCTGAGAGGAAAGGATCGCAGAAGCGGGCAGGGCCCGCAGGTGCGCACACGCAGGTGCGAGTATTTGACTGCAAATGCGGATTTGGGAGAGTAAGTGGGATCCGCACATGCGATGGAATTTTCGCAGGTGCAGCATCGCAGAAGCGTAAATAGTACCGCATATGCGGTTTTGCTGGACAGAAGGTATAAATAGAACACTTCGGAATTTTTTCCCATTTTCACATCTTTGAGCTCGGATTTTCGGGATTTTTGAGAGGGATTTCAGAGCTATCACTGAGGTGAGTTCCTTATGCTTATTGTATACGGTAAAACCGGAGAGTCCAATTTTCCGTCATTGTGGTGCCTCGTAAACATATTTCACAAGGTTCGAAACTAGGGTCGAGGTTCACCCTCAAGGGCTATCGGCGCTCGACCTCGGGGCGATGCAAACCAACGACTATAATGGAAAAGTGAAAAGTTCCCAAGGCGCATAACTAGGGCTGACAAAGTCTAGTAAGCTAAAATCAGACCCGAATCATGACTTCAACTAGCTGTCCCATCTCCATATCTTTGTAATTAATGCGTTTGTACTATGTTGGGATTCCCCCTCATATATAAAGGGGATCCTTGTTATTTTGTAGATATCTGTTGCTCAATACTAAAGACACAAGAACATTTTCTCTGCTCTCTAACACATTCTTTTGAGTTCATTTCCATTTATCGCTTATATTCATTGTGTTCTATTTATTGTTCATCATTTATTGCTTATTATTGGCCATAAAGAGCCGTTATTGATTTTATTCTAACTATTAGTCGCCCATCGATTACCCCCGATAGCTCCCAGCCGAGCTTCAGACTCGACCTCGAGGCCCTCGAATAAGCAAGCTCGAGGCCCCGACTATTACTCATTCGGTTTGATTATCACCTTGTTCTCCAACTCCTTTCTCGTTTCTAAGTCTTTCACATAACATCAACTGCATATCAACTAGCATAAAAATAGATCACGTATTTTTAGAATCCCATAATCAAATTTAATTGTTATTACCATTTTCACGGTAAATAGTTTGGTGCCCACCGTGGGGCTTAAAATAACAGTGATTATTTTCTTGCTGGTTTAACCACGTACCACAAGTTATCTTCCACACTTTTTCTTGTCCAAGATCTTTGATTTCAGGTCAAAATGTCTAACTCAGTAAACGCACGTGAAAACTTCAACCTTGAAGACCATTGAGAAAATGGTGTTGACGTCCCAGGTGTTGGTGTACCACCGCAAAACCCTGAGAGTACGCCGGAACCAATTCCTGTGTTTACGACCTCATACAATACCCAACACGGTAATGACGATCCTCACATTAGCAAGGGAGAACGCCGAGAGATTCAGCAGGAAATCCGGAAAAATCCAACACGGGCTGAGAGAGAGATTCCTCAGCATGTCGTTCATATGATCATCGGGGGGACCGATATCCCCGAGGACCCGTGATCAAACAGACGAAAATATCCGCTGCAATAGAAGGGCCGACCTGAGATCGCATGACCGAAGACACCCTTGCATTCAGCGAGGAAGATTTCGGGACCTTAACACATCCACACAATGATGCACTGGTAATTTCATTTCTCTTAAATAACATTCGAATTAAATAAAACGTGTGCTCGTGGACCCAGGCAGCTCAGCCAACGTAATCAGGTCAAAGGTAATAGAACAGCTCGGGCTCCTTAATCAGATCATACCCGCCTTCCGGGTCCTCCACGGCTTCAACATGGCCGGTGAAATAACGAAAGGGGAGATCGCCCTCTCGGTTGACATGTCCGGTACAGTTCAGGACACCAAATTCCTTGTCATCGGTGGTGACATGAGGTACAACGCATTGCTTGGCAGGCCGTGGATACATAGCATGAGGGCGGTGCCATCAACTCTACACCAGATGATGAAGTTCCCAACAAAGGATGGTACAACAACCATATATGGAGAATAGCATGCGGCAAAAGAAATGTTCGTGGTTTACCAGGAGGCGCCGAATCCTATACGCTCTAACCCGGATGAGTCTGGGAGCGTACAAACACCCGAAGACGATGAAGAAGATTTCCTCGCTCCTCGGACTTTCGTTGCCCCCGAAGAGTCGGACGCAACGAAATCGACAATTGAAGAGCTGGAGCAAGCTATTTTGATCGAGCATCTCCCTGATCGGAAGGTATACCTGGGGACGGGATTAACCCCCGAACTCAGGAAAAAATTCATTCAATTCCTCATTAATAGCATCGACTGTTTCGCTTGGTCCCACCTAGATATGACAGGTATCCCGCCAGAAATAACCACCCACCGGTTAAGTGTCGACCCCAGGTTTAAACCGGTGAAGCAAAAAAGAAGATCCCAGTCCGAAATAAAACACGCGTTCATCAAGGACGAGGTAAGGAAACTCCTTAAAATAGGGTCTATTAGAGAGGTAAAGTACCCCGAGTGGCTGGCAAATGTAGTAGTAGTGCCCAAAAAGGGAAATAAGTTAAGAATGTGTGTAGATTATAAAGACTTGAATAAGGCATGCCCCGAGGATTCATTCCCATTGCCCAACATCGATCGCCTGATCGATG